GTGTGCCCCCTTTTGTACTAGTGGGCCCACCCCCCCACCAACTTGGTTCCCGAGACCCCCTTTTTTTGGGGGGGGGGGGGGGGGCATGAAGGCTTACGTGTGCGTAATTTTTTGGGTCGTCGGTATGGTGGCCGTCGTGCCTAAAGGAAGGGGCTGTGAGGACTAGGCGTTTTTTCCCTCTCGCGGTGGCCAACAGCATGTTTGAGGCCTCGACGAGTTTCAGCCCGCTCATACTGCAGCAGCAGCAGCAGCAGCAGCAGCAGCAGCAGCAGCAGTAGCCTGGGTGGGTGCGGGGAGGCGGGGCACAGCGCCTAGTAGCACCAAGAGACGTGATCTCGAACAGTATCTCTCTCTCTCTCTCTCTCCCCCCTAATCTCTACCATCTCTGTCCCGTTCCTCTATCTCTCTATCTCTCTAACCTCTCGGTCTCGCTCTCCTGTAACGCATGTTGCATGCCGTGCCTCCCCTTTATCAGAAACAAACGCAAGCCAACAAAAAAAAAACTGACTTTTACTCGCGCCTCCCTCGCCTCATCCTCGCCCCAATAGGTGGCTATCTGTCTCCGCACGAAGGACTTCGCCCGCTTCCTTCCGGAGTGGATCGCCTTCCACTACGCGCTAGGAGTGGACGAGATATTCATCTACGATGATGACAGCACCGACAACACCGAGGAGGTGCTCTGGCCTTTCGTCGAAGCCGGAATCGTGCGGTACATCTTCGAAGTGATCTTCGAGTAAGTCAACAGTCAGTTACAGTAGGTGGCCCGATATAGTGGCATATGGGGGCAAGACCAAATGATGCCACTATTCGGGGCAGTGCCACTATTCGATATAGTGACACTATTGCCACTGTTGACATTGCAACAGTGGCAATAGTGCCACTATATCGAATGAGAAGCTGTGAAGTTCACGACATCGGCAGCGGTTCATTGTATCTACCCTCACATGCGCTGTTACATGCGGGTACAGTCGTGTACTGCTGCACGTCTCGTGGTTGAGCACTTGTGTGCAGCAGTATCCGCATGAAACACATGAAATGACACTTGGTTATCCAAGGGTCGCCGAGCCTTCTGCGGTCAAAACCTATTTTTCATTTTTCAGTGCAGGCAGACCACCGAAACCACGCCCAAACGTACTACTGTAGGAGGCACATCATATATGTTTTGTCCGGCGGGCTATGTAACATGGGGTTCAACACACTTAGAAGAAATGACAACTGAAGCAACAAAGCTTCTTTTTCGCGGCGGCGCCATCTCCGACAAGTCCCGAGTTGGGGGAGGCACGCTTAGGCTGATTCGAGGAGTCGGGTGTCTTTTGCTTCTTGGCGATGCACGGGTTGCAGACGCGGTGTATTTCTCTGCCGCCCTCCTCCTCTGGTTCACCACATATACCATGAAGCCGGCCACCGCAGCCGAGGCGACATGTGTTCCCGTCTTCTCTCCCAGTGGTCGGTGTGGGAGTTTACACAGTTCTAGGTCCGCGCAGGCTGGCATGATACGTGTGGCGCCCAATGCTGAGGGTGGTGTGGGCAGGCGTGGTCCAGCAGTAGTGGGGGGCCGCTGTTTGGAATTGCCACTATTGGGTGTGTGAGATGGCCAATATGCCACTATTGAGGGCCCCGTCCTCAATAGTGGGAAAGTGCCACTATATCGGGTTGAGATTTTGCCAGGAGATTTTCATGCCACTCTATCGGGCATTTCACTATTCAGGTTGCCACTATATCGGGCCACCTACTGTAGTTGAAGCGAGAAAGAACAATGGATTTGTGGTAGCTCATTTAGTAGCGAGTAAGAATTACCCTTTACACATTCAAATCAGAAGTGATCTTCGGGTTAAAAGTTAGTGTAGCGAGTAAGAACAACAGACGGAAGTAAAAAATCATGCCTCGTCGCTCCCCCCCTCTCTCTCTTGTCCCTTGGGGTTGGTTGTTTGGTTGCGTGCGCGCTGCAGGCATTATTAATTTTTGTGTTTTTGTTTTTATTTTTTGGGGAGGGGGCGCTGCATATTTGGCGAAGAAGAGAGTAATAAATCACCCAAGTATCGTTGCTCTCTTGAATTATGTTGCCTCTCGGTGTCGGTTGCGTGCTGCGCTTGCCGGTGCTCTTTTCCGCCGCAAGCCTGCCGTACGAGAGAGGGACGACGGGGAAACAGCCGTGATGTGCTTTGCGTTTTGCGGTTGCGCTCGAAGGAGTAATTAAAAACGGCCATGGAGATAAGTCCTTCTGGAATCACACCGGCGGGGTCGTCCTTGCAGGTCTCGAATACCCCGTGTTGGTTTGTGGTTGGTTGTGCACGAAAACGAGTCATCGACATAACGAAAAATGGCTTCCCTTGCCGTCTTGTGGACGTCTGTGCTGGCAAAGATTATTCGCGGCTTGTCGGAGCATGATCAATCGGTGCGAATCCGGGATGACCGCTGCTGAGTCCCCCCGTCTGCTACTCTACCAATTCGTTTTTTTTTTTTTTTTGTCTGTGTTGCCGCAGCCGCATGACTCAGATGAAGCCCCTCAACCACTGCCTAGAGCAACAACTTGAGCGCAGAAGCAGAGGCGACGAGGACGCGGCGACTTGGGTGCTGTTCCACGACACGGATGAGTATCTCTACCCCTCGGATACAAGCCTCAACATCCGGGACGCCTTGGAAAAGCACCACAGGACCTGCTGCGCGTTGGTGCGAGAGGGAGATGTTGGTTAGGGAGGGCGGGGGGGGGGGGGGGGGGGGACCCCCCTCTTTTTTATTTGCCTCTCTAAGGGGGAAACCCTTTTCCCCCCCCCCCGGGGA